AAATGGGATCTACAGGTCATGGCTGTGTTGGAGCTCAGTGTCCTGACACTTTTGTGATATCAGAAAACATGAATTCCATCCTATATATGAGATGAGAAACAATACAAACATTAACAATGCAAGCCCATACAATGATTTGAAGGCAAAGCACAATAAAGCAACATGTCCGCCTAAATGTTGCAGGAAAACTTTTCCTAGCAATATTTTATATGTGTTTAGATTTGATTAAAGGGTAACAGGAGCATCTGCATCACAAGGGAACTGAGCCAATTTGTGTTAGAGGAGAATTCCAGTAGAGGGTAAAATGAAATTACACTGCCGGGAAATAGTCATTGCCATGCTACCAGATGAATTGTTTTCCAATTATGTTCTGAAAATGTGAACGCAAATAAAAAAGCATTGATACAAAAATCAAAGAAACCTTCATTAGCTACAAATATCAAAATGGGAAGCTACTGTTGTTTGACATTTTCTCTCCATCTAGGCATCCTGGTGTGATACTATAGCCTGGTGTGACCTTGGACGGCAAGGTCAATTTGAACCGAAAGATCAGTAGTTCAAATCCATCAGTCACCTCAGAAACCCTATACAGGATTGCTGTAAATCAGAACCAGTTCAGCGGCACTTAACAACAAGGTCTATATAGTTCTGAAGTCAGTCTTTCCATCTCTCTAACCCTTCCCCCGCAAATTCTGTACTCTTCTATTTACACCATGTCAAGAGCAGATTTAACATGCTCAAGGGAGTCAAATCATGACTCCTTTTCAATGTTCTTTAAGTTTGGAGATTAAAAAGTCTGAAGGGGCATGATCAGGATTGTAAGGTGGATAGGTTAAGGTTTCTCAATGAAATTCTCATAGGATAGCCTTTGCCAACCTCTCAATACGAGAAAAAAAAAAAAAAAATTCTCATGCAACTTTTTCTCATGAATGCAGTTTTCAATTCTCTTAAAACTTTTTCAAAATAAGCCTCTGTGATTGTCTTGTATCCTTTGAGAAGTTCTATCAAAATTACTCCTTTGGGATCCCACAAAACAGTTTCTATAACCTTCTATATTGACCTCTCTGCCTTGAATTTAACTAGTCCAGAGGATCCCTTCAGGAGCCGTTGTTGTGATGATTTTGAAGACACTCTTAGGAGCCCAAGGTAAGTTTATTACTAAGAGAACTTCTCTGTGGTCATCCACGGATGGCAGAGACATGTTTAAACATTTTTTTTTGTAATAAAGCCATGAACCTAGAGGCTATATTTTTTTATTTACCTTTGTATTTTTCTGATCTCAATTCACTATAAGTTTGAACCCCTTATATTATTCACAAGTCAAAAGGTGGAAACAATCTAAATGTCCATTAACAGGTGAATCGATAAACAAAATGTGATATATACATACAATGGAATACTACTCATTCATTAGAAGAAACGAAGTCTTGATACATAATACAATAGGGATAAACTTGAAGACATAATGCTGAGTAAAATAAGACAATCACAAAAAGACACATATTTGATGATCTCACTTATATAAAAAGACAAGATAAGGCAAATGTGTAGAGACCAAAGTTTATTAGTGGTTACCAGGAGTAGAAGGATGGGGCAAAAGCGACACTCAACAGTGATGAAAAAAATCACAAAAAATCAATAATTGTATTGCTGTCAAAAGTTGCATACTGATAAAAATTTGAACTGGAAAATGTGTGATGGATACATTTAAAACAATGGCAAAACAAAAGAAGAGCTGCTGAGCCTGCTTATGTACAACCAAAAACCTCACTGTACTTAGTCTTGTGTTGGTAACTTAAGGTCATAATTTCATGAGACATCTTCAGATAAAAGTTTTCAAATGGCCATCCAAGTTATAACAAATGGTCTCCACTCACCTGGAGCAAGAGAAGAAGGAGAATCAGAAATAGGAGGAGGATATGGAATGTGTGGCTAAATGCCTCCATAAACAACTGCCTCCTTCGCTACCTGGACCAAAACTGGATTAGGCCTGGCTATTATTTCTGAACATTATTATCAAGGATTCTATAGAGGAATCCCAACCAAAAGGGAGACAATATATAACAGAATTTCAAATATTCATGGACTCTAGACTTGCTGGAGCCATGCAGTTCAAAACTACCAGCAGTTCTGTGGGAGAAAGATGAAGCTTTCTGCTCCCAAAAAGATTTACAGCCTTGGAAATCCTGTACAGGTAGGTTGCTATATGTTGGAACTGACTCCAGGGCACACCACCACTCCCAGTACCATATGGGATTAAAGTGACAAAAGAAACTCAAAAGCTTAGATAGAAATGTTGGGGGGGGGGAATAAATTTACATTAACAGGTGAAAAACAACTGAGTAAAGGAGGATGAGAATAGTCGCAGAACTCTAAGAATGTAATCAATGTCACTGAACTGTATGTGTAGCAACAATTGACTTGGTATAAATTTTGTGTATATAGTTTTGATAACAGCAACAAGAAAGAAAGATCAAACCACTAGAGAACATCAAGCAAAATAGCTGATTCTAATCTGAAGTGCAATCAAGGATTCTAGAGAAAAGAAATAAACATATCTGAATTGTACAATGGAATGAATGTGTGTCACAGTCAGTCAAAAACTGTCCCAGGCAGATAAAAATTTGAAATATAATAGTGTATAGGTCAATGCTCTTGATAGAAAATATGCTCTCTAAATTTTAAATGATACCAAGGAAGAAAACCCATCAATAGACAGGACTAAGTAACAACTACAACTGCACTACCCAGAAATGGTTTTCTATTGAAAGCACTATGGAATGGCAATTGTCTTCTACAGGAAATCTATGCGGCTCTGACGTCTGGGAGTTTGCTGCATTTTAATTAACTGGAGTTTGCTTTAAATCTGGCAGCTAAAGTGATCCTATGTTGGATGACCTTTCTGTGCTCTCTTTGAAAGCCTGTGTGGTCCCTAAACCAGCCAGCACACATCTGACGGCAGTGGATGCCAGCTTCCCACTGACATGCCCATTTTCGGGTCTGGGGGCAGGGGTGTGTGTGCTCTGACATAGCCAAGTGTGCCAGATGCCCAAATTATGATGGACTCCTCTAGCCTCATCTAAGCACATGGGTCATAGAAGGTCCATTGCTGGCCTCTCATCCTGGTGCTATCCCCTCCAGATGATGGGGTGAGTCAGGAAGGTGTCTTAAGTGAACTGTGAGTCCAGGCCAGCCTCACAGCAGTCGTGACTGAGTGAGAACACACTGTGCTCAGCCTGTTGGCTCCACTCTTGGGAGCACAAAGTATGTGTTACAACAACAAGCACAGAAATCCTGACCACACTCTTCTCTATCTCGAGATCTGTAATAAGAACATTTGAAGTAAATGCATACAGTCGAGAAACAGGGCTGTAAGTCAGAAAGAGAAAGGCGTTTCTGATTTGTATCTCAAAGACACAGATTATTTTCCTCTCTGAATCCAGACCCTACATGTTTTGGAAGAAAAGCAATAGCCAGAAGATGGGAAAAACAGATCGTGTTTATGTGACCAACTTGCAGCGGATGCTATACTTAAGAGTTGGGGTTTTTGTTACTCAAAGGAATTAACCATTCTTCAATGTTCATCAGAAAACTTGCTAAGCATCTGTAGTCTGACTCATCAGCCTCAGAATCATTGTCTGGGAATCTTCTAAACCAGTAAGTCACCAACTATTGTATTCTAAACATGGATGTTAAAAAACTGGGCTAAGCATTCCCTCAACCCCCTCTAAAAAACTTTAAATAATAAGGAAGAAAAAATAGGAGTGAAAATATAGATGCTCACTCCAGTCCTTCTGGTTTTATTTTATACAATAGATTGTATAATCTTAGTTTCCCTAAAACAGTTCATTAAAGGGTCTCCTTGGAGTCCTGGTGTGGCACTGTAGGATAAGCACTCAATCTCAAAGTCGGTTTATACAAGGTCGGTGGTTCAGACTCACCAGCCACTCCTTGGAAACCCTATACAGGGTCACTATGAGTCTGAATTGACTCAATGGCACTTAACAACAACAACAGGATGGACTCTTAAAGTAGCAAGCCATGAAATGAAGACTTTGACATCTTCTATTTCATATGATGGCACATTCTGTAAATTGTGACCCATGATAGCACATCTACTCCTGTGGCTTCACAGAAACACAGAGAGAATGGATTATAACCTGTCTTGCAGATAACTGTCCTCATGAGAATCCCTCGCTAATCCCAGGTTGATGATGAAACTTCAAATAAAAACCCAACAATTCATCACCCTATAAGTTGGGGGCATCTAGAGCCATGTTTTTTTAGGATGTTCCAAGTTGGGTTTTAGATAGAGTCTGGAGTTAAACTCAAACACAGGCTATAGATCAGCAAAAGGAATTCAGTACCTCCTAGGACCATGAACATAATACTTAGTTGTTTCAGTGGTCACAGTAAGGTTAATTAATTACTACAATCATGTAAGTGTTTTAGAGAATATGCTATATTTGTGGAGCATGTGTATGTCTGAAAGTGCTCCAGGATTTAATTACTGCTAAAGTCATCTGGGGTTTTTGACACACATTCTATTTTAATAAGATAAACTCAACATAACCCAGAATTGCCAAAAATTCCTAAGGTAGATGACTAAAATAAACCAGCAATAAATATTAGCTGTTGGAATGGGAATTATATTTCTGCAATGTAGACATAGCATTAATGAGTCATTTTCAAATAACAGTCTCTCCTAGGGATTAGTGGTATGATGGATCAGGGAAGAAAGCAGTCTACCTCTTTTTTATTCAGCAGAATTGAAGAGGAATGTGAACCAACCAGGCAAAGACATTCTCATGTCTACTTTGCCAAGACAGGTATATCCCCTGGAGTCCAACAGAGATTCAACTTGGATAGGCCGCATTGAGGCAGAAATATCGCATTGGAAGAAGCCATCTTAGCGTTGAGTTAACTGAATATGGGACATTGTCTCTCATTATCCTGGAGGCAAAAAGTGCCTTAAGGCCCACTTATTTGGAGTGAATTACCTTATCAGACGCAGTGGGTGCTGCCGTGTTCCTTTTTTGCTTGGATGCATTTAGGCCACCTTTGCTCCCTAAGGTGAAATTCTGACCCTTTGCTCCACTACATTGAACTTTACAACTTCTTTGATGTACCAGAAGACGGTCTGGAGCAAAGGTCTGGTTACAGTTTGGGCAGGGCACAAACTGAACTTGACTTGGCTCCTCTTGACTGGACTGTTCAGTAGAAAGAGGCCGGGGCTTCTGTGGGAGTGGTCTGCGTAACTGCCTAGGGAGACGGTCATTTTCTATTTTCCATTTTTCCAGGCATTTGGGTTCATGAATAGGAAGGGACAGGGTGCCAAATTCCCGTCCACAAATGTAGCAGATGAGAGTCCTTGGTCTTGCTGCGATTCCACGAGATGCTTTCATGAGACTAGTAAGATCATCAGAACTGTTGGTGTTTGATGCTCTGGGACCCTCATCCTTTGGCTTGCAGCTTCTCTGGTGAACTAGAAGCCGATCTGGCAAGAATGTGCGACCACAGTATTCACAGGGTATCAGCTGAGCCTGGGCGCTCTGGAAAGCTGCCTCATTAGCTGCCCTAAGACTGTAGGATCCGCTGCCACTGAGAGGCTGTGGCTTGGAGGGTTCTGGCCTCCTCAGGTGATTGGGCAGCTTGCTGTTTTCAATACGCCACTTTTCCAAGCACTGGGGCTCATGAATGCCCAGCGACTGGGATCCAAACTCTCGGCCACAGATATAGCACACCCTAAATCCAGGCCTGCGGGACGGAATCACAGGAGGCTTAAACTGACTTTCTGACATAATTTTCCTACTTGATCGTCTCGATAATATCACAGTTCCAGGTCTATTTCTTTGGATGTTTGTCCTTATTTTTTCAGAAAGATTGACACTTTTTGTTTCTGGCAAACCACTAGAATGAGAGTCACTATAGAAGATGGCTTGGTTGATAAGGAAGGTAGGTTCTTTAGAATGATGAAAAGTTTGTTGGAATTTGTTGGAAACCCTCTTCTCTTTTCCTTTTTCCATTAACAAAGAGAGTCTTTCTCTAGTTCTTGCTCTGATTTCAGGCCAGACTCATTTGGGACTTCTACTTAGAGAAAATGTTAGTGAGATTGGCTGTCCTTGGGTTCCACATTGTTGCCAGTACCTTAGAACCACTGACCATGACTCAGAGCTTCATTGCAAGGCAGCAGTCTGGAATGCTGGAAAGTCCCATTAAACCTCAGATGCCTCTAGGATCTGCAAAGGAAAAACATAAATCAAGAAGTTACTACATGCACAGGCACACACAAACACACTAGTCTCATAAGTGATTTTTTTTTTTAATTTAACCTATAATTAACATTGGGCTGCTAACCGCAAGGTCAGCTCTGCAGTTTTAATCCACCACCTGCTTCTCAGGAAAAAGATGAGGCTTTCTGCTCCCATAAAGATTTACAGCCTTGGAAACCCTATAAAGGGTTGTTATGAGTTGGAACTAACTCAACAGCACTTGAAAACAATAACAACAACAATATCTTCCTTGGCAGGCTTGGTAAGTGGCATGTATGATTTGTGTAATAAACATTGAATTCATTATTAAGAAATAAAACTTCCTTTATGAATTGTACTATTATCATATTGAAAACAGTGTTCTGCACAAAATAAAAATTTGCAGTTTCAGCACATCCTAGAGAAACTTGGTACAAGCCAACAGAAGCTGAGACCATTGTAGTGAGGCCATTAAGGGAAGGACCAAGAACTCTGACTATCAGATTAACAAAATCAGCACATCATGTAAAGTGACCTCTTATACCTGAAGAAACTATATATCAAGATTCTTAGCATTTTTAGTGCCATGGGTCCTTTGGCAGTTCCACAAAGTCAATGGGCCTCTTCTCAGAATAATGTTTTTAAATGTAAAAATTAAAATTCTACTATTATAAACAATAGTAGAATTTTATTACAAGGCTGGTAAGATCTTACAATGGGCAGAAGTAAGAATGCATTTCAATGTTAAGAAAACAAAAATCCTTACCATAGGAACAATAAACAACATTCTTATCAGTGGAGAAAAGACTGAAGTTGTCAAGAACTTCATTCATCTTGGATCAACCATCAACACTCACGGAAGCAGCAGTCAAGAAATCAAATGACTTATTGCATTAGGCAAATCTACTGCACAAGACCTTTTGAAAGTGTTAAAGAGCAAAGATGTCAGTTTGAGGACTAAGGTGTGCCTGACCCAAACCATGATATTTTCAATAACCTCATACGCATGCGAAATCTGGACAGTGAATAAGGAAGACTGTAGAAGAATTGATGCATTTGAATTATGGTGTTGGAGGAGAATATTGAAAGTACCATGGGCTGCCAAAAGAACAAACAGATCTGTGTTGCAAAAAGTGCAACCTCAGTGCTCCTTGGAGGCCAGGATGGCCAAACTTCATCTCTCATACTTAGGATATATTGTCAGGAGGAGAAGGATATCATGTTTGGTAAGGTAGAGGATCAGAGAAAATAGGAAGACCCCTAATGAGATGGATTGGCAAAGTGGCAGTATCAATGAACTCAAGTGTGGCAACAATTGTGAGGTTGGCCCAGGACTGGGCAGTGTTTTGTTCTGTTGTACATAGGATCACTATGAGTCAGTACCAACTCAATGGCACCCAACAACAACATTACAAGTAAAATCAATCTTATTGAAATAATTTACAATATATGTTGTAATATATATTTTCATTGTAATATAGTCCTGTTGTGGTGCTGTGGGTTAATGCACCAGAGATTGCAAAGTCATTTGAATGGTAAGGTCAGTGGTTCAAGCTCACCAGCTACTCCTTGGGAATCCTATACAGGGTCACTATGGGTCAGAACCAACTCAATGGCACTTAATGACAGCAATAGTAATACCACACATTTCCTGAATGTTCATGGACCTGAGGTTCAGAACCCCTACAGAAGTAATTCTATTGAATTACTATCGTAAATGCTATGAAGTTTATCAGGAAAACCATCAAGAAGGTATAATTATCTTATAACCCATGATGTTTGTACTTTTCCTTCTTAGAGAGAGGCATGGGGTACCACTACATTGTGACCATTATTCTAAAGCAAGGAATGAAACCCAGATCTCTGTCCTTCCCTGCAGGATATCTGTGGGTCTCTCTGGAAAATAAGCAAAGTTTATGCTTGCTGCTCTCTTTTTTTAGGCACATTGTTCATTTTCTAGCTGGACACTCATATATGTCTTCCAATTCAAAAATTAAAACATAGCCACTTGAATCTCAAACAAACCATAAGAAAAGGCTGGTAAGATCTTACTATGAGTGGAAGTAAGAATTGGGAAATTCTACCAAAGTAAGACAATTTTCCACTGCTATCCACAAGATTTTCACTTACCATTTTTTTCAGAAGTAGAACCCCAGAGCCTTTCTCCCAAGCTATATGAAACAAAATGCTGCATCAGGATTGGAGGAAAACTCATTAATAGCCTATGATATGCAGATGACACACCTTCTATGATACGCAGATGACACACCTTCCTTTCTGAAAGCAAAGAAGACTTAGAGCACTTCCTAAAGAAGATCAAAGACTATAGCCTCCAATATATATTACACCTGAACATAAAGATAACAAAAATCCTCACAAACAAACCAGCATTATAAATAATGAAATGATGGAAGTTGTCAAAGATTTTATTTTACTTAAATCCACAATCAACACCCATGGAAAAAGTAGTCAAGATGTCAAAGAATGTATTGCATTAGGCAAATCAGCTGCAAAAGACTTCTTCAAAATATTCAAAAGCAAAGCTATTACCTTAAGGACTAAGGTGCTCTTGGCCCAACAGAAGATATTTCAATCATCTCATATGCATATAAAAGCTAGGCAATGAATAACAAAAACCAAAGAAGAATTGATGTATTTAAATTATGGTGGTGATGAAGAAAATTGAATATACCATGGAATTCCAGAAGAACAAACAATCTAATCTATGCTGGAAGAAGTACAGCCAGAATGCTCCTTAGAAGTGAGGATGGTAAGATTTCATCTCACATATTTTGGATATGACATTAGAAGGGACCAGTCCCTGAAGAAGGACATCATGATTAGTAAAATTGAGGGTCAGGGAAAAGAAGGAAGACTGTCAATGAAATGGACTGACCTAGTGGGCAAAAATGGACTCAAACATAGCAAGCATAATGAAGGCAGCACTTCATTGAGTTTTACATAGGGTTGCTTTGAGTCAGAACTTACTCAATGGCACTTGACAACAACCACCAGAGTAAATTCTGTGAGAGGTCTACAATCTTGTCCAATGAAAGATTATTATTAGAAGGCTTAAGGCCTTCTTCATGCTAAAGGATGATCCTGAAGGAAGATCTGCTCTTAATCACAGAGGGAACAGTTCCCTGATCCTGGCTGGACCCTCCAACCATGGCAAATACTCAATTCTGGCAGAGCAAGAACATCAGCGCTTGAATTATCTAAATATTGTTTGGACATTGTATTTGAGAGAGACAAAAAGTATCTGTGAGAACTTATGCTCAATTCCTGTATTTTGTTTCCAAGAAAGGCCTGACCCTTTGCAATTAAGAGTATCAACCAGGTCTGGCGCAGAGAAGGAAGTTATTCTTCATTTTGACAGATCCTAAGACAGTAATATTAACACATGTGACAAAAGAATGTGTTGGCCCCAAGCAGAGTGACCAGCACAGAAAATGAACCTTAGAGAAATGAAATTTATTACTTGATCAGCATTGTCCAAAAGATAAAGTGGATCTAGGGAGCAGAAAGAATAAGGTAAAAATATTTCTTTATATTTCTATCCATGTAGATGAAATAGCTCCCTGACCTACTCTGTTCCATTAGCTTTTATTTCTCATTCACCAAGGACCTTCTAGGTTCCTTGATAGCAGGAAGTTGCAGACACTAAAAGTACTTAAGATGGATTGGAAACATCAGTGCAATCAAAGACCTTACTTCTTAGCGCTCTCTCTCTTTTACACACAAACATAGTCAACTCTGTTCCTCGCAGATTAGAAAACCCAGGAAGTTCTGTGACTTGCCCCAAATCCTTGTATATATTTTCCTTCAAATATATAAAGAACTAATACTTATTAAATGTTTACTTTGTACCAGGTGTTGCAGTAGTGCTTTAAAATGCATAATTTCATCTTAATCCTCAATTAATCCTCGAACGACTATGAAGCAGGTATTATTATTTGAAACAAAATAATATAAACATAGATACTATGACTCATTTTGGGCAAATAACTTGCTCAAGACAGTCAGTTTCTAAATGACAGAACTGGGAATCAATTCCAGCCCTCTTTGGCTCCAAGTCTCTTTCCATTATTCATTTGCCTGAAATTCCACCAGCGGAGCTTCTTCTCTTTAGATTTTATCCCTGTTTTTATGTCCTATTCGTGCACCCTAGAGGAAGGTATCTCAGTTCTCACCAACATTTATACACTTCTACCAGTGAAGAAAAAGTTAAAAGGAAGAGGATGAAAAGGGCATAGAAAAAGTGAAACCTCTAAATGGAAAAAGCAGGAAACTGGGGCTACTAAAAACTATATTTTCACTAAGTGGCAAGACTAATTTTGTCTTACTGTATATGGTTTTCTAGATGACATTTTTTCCTACATGGAATGCAGTGGAATCCTATTCCTGTTGTTAGCAATAACCTTAAGAAAAATCTGTATTACCATCCAAGAGTGGGGTGAGATGAATGATATCTGAGTGGTGCAGTAATGAAGTGTTGCCTTTGTCCTTATAATGAGGCGCAAAGTAAAAGCTAAGCCTACCTAAAGAAGCCAGATGGTGTTTAATTTGCAGACACTTCACTATTTTGATCAGGGATAGATCCTTTATACATGCTAATGTTTGTGCACTACAAACCAATATTTTCTCTGTGGAGGACAAGATTGCTTGGTAAAATGGAGGGGTAGTGAAAAAGAGGAAGACTCCAAATGAGTTGGATTGACACAGTGACACAACAATGGGCTCAAATGTAATCACAACTGTGAGAATAGCACAGG